TAAAAAAGATAACATGCATTTAATTTATAGAGAGGCGCTGTGTGAGTGCTGATGCGCCCTTTTATTTCCTTTCCTTTTTTTGGGGGGGGGGATCTAGTCACAGCTGACCTATGACAACCCCATAAGGGTTTCAAGGCAAGAGGTGTTCAGAGGTGGTTTGCCATTGCCTTCCTCTTCATAGCAACTCTGGTATTCCTTGGTGGTCTCCCATCCAAATACTAACCAGAGGGGACTGGATAAACATGTGGAGCAGAGGTCCACGAGTGGCTATTAGCCACAAGGTATAGATGGAACATTCTGTCTGGGGCAGTGATGCTCTGTCTTCTTGGTGCTTGGGGGGGGAAGAGTGGGAAAGCTTTTGGAGTTCTGACCCCACTGGTGGACTTCCTGATGGCCCTTGGGTTTCGGCCACTATGTGACACAGAGTTTTGGGCTGGATAGGCCATTGGCCTGATCCAACAGGGCTTCTCTTACATTCTTATGTCTGGGGCAGTGATGCTCTGTCTTCTTGGAGCTTGGGGGGAGCAACAGTGGGAGGGATTCTGGAGTTCTGGCCCCACTGGTGGGACTCCTGATGGCACTGGGTATTTTTGGCCACTGTGTGACACAGAGTGTGGGGCTGGGTAGGCCATTGGCCTGATCCAACAAGGCTTCTCTTACATTCTTGTCTGGGGCAGTGATGCTCTGTCTTCTTGGTGGTTTGGGGGGGGAACAGTGGGAGAACTTCTGGCATTCTGGTCCCACCGGTGGACCTCCTGATGGCCCCTGGGCTTTGGCCACTGTGTGACACAGAGTGTTGGACTGGATGGGCCACTGGCCTGATCTAACATAGCTTCTGTTATGTCCTCTTGTGTTGTTATCATGGCTAAAGGAAAGGCCATTAGCTTGCTAGTGGGGTATCCCAAAGCACCTGGAGGCACTGCTCCTTCTAAGCTGTGGAGTCTGGTGAGCAAAAATCCTACCTTGTGAGCTGCTGGCATTAAAGTTGTGAGCGAGCGATTTGGCTGATGCACAAATTAGTTTGCTCTGTAGCCATCCTTTTCCTGAGCTAAGACAAAAATGTGTGAGCCGGAGGCTAAGAAACTGTGTGCTAGCTCACACTAACTCAGCTTAGAGGGAACACTGCCTGGAGGCACTGCTGTTTCCTGACTCTCTGGGTGTCCAAAGGGGCTTCATGTGGCCACTTCCAGCTTAACATTCCGGCCTGGCTTTGCAGTCTGAGCAACAGAGTGAAGAGCCAAGCTTTTCCCACTGTTGGCCACCTTCTTTTCCCCTACCCTGCTCCGGCCTGCCTCTAAAGATCCGGCCAGCCTTTCTCCTGCCTGGCAAGCTCACAAGTCTGCCCCCCCAGCTGAAAGGTGGGCCCGTGTTGCACATATTGAAGTTTGCCTTTGGTGGACAGGGGAGGACCGGGTTTGTTGGGGATTCCGAATCTATTCCCGGATCTTGCAGCGCTTAAGGCCCATGGGTTTGTTTAATCTTCTAAAAAAAAATGTAGGTGGCGAGGGTAGAATTCGATCCGCAAAAGGGACCCACAGATAAGGGGAGTGGCTCCTTCCCCACTTTGGCTCTAGGGCTGCCAGGTCTGGGTTGGGAAATACCTGGAGACTGTGGGGGCGGATCCGGGAGAGGGCAGGGTTTGGGGAGTGGAGGGGTCTCGGCATGGTCCAAGGCCATAGGATCCACCCTTCAAAGCAGCCACTTTCTCCAGGGGGAACTTTGTGAGGAAAAAAACCCGTGATATGATAATGAAGCCCTGTTAGAGAAAGATATATCTTCTTTAATTATCCAGTGAGTGACAAATCATTAAAGGTGTTTTCTTTGAAGTAAATTGGTCTCAGGTTTTTCTGATGGTACAGCGCTCAATAGACTGTTTCACTCAAGGTTTCATCAGATGAGACCTTACACTAGAAAATATACAAAAAGGCATTAAAAATTTCACCATTCAGACTATGAATGTACCCAAAACAGAGATCAGAGTATTTTTTTAAAAGGGAAAAAAAACCCCTCAAACAACTCCCCCTTTTATACTTTTTGCTGCTCCCTCTTCCTTTCTAGCGTACATCATTTGGTTATGTGAAAAGCAACTCTGTGCTGCCCTCTGAAATTCTTTCAAGACTGCTTCGGGTGCATACTATCAGTTATTAACCGAGGTTTCTAATCTAAAAGTTCAGCCTGTCCCGTGATCTCTCGTCTTCGACTTTCTCCAGGGGAGCTGATCTCTGTCAGCTGGAGAGCAGTTGTAAAAACGGGAGATCTCCAGGCCCCACCTGGAGGCTGGCAACCCTGTTTTGCTCTCTCCACAGTTGCTAGCTTTGCTTCTGGAGCCAACCTGGGGGAGAAAACAGGTTTTGAGTAAAAGACCGTGGGGAGGAAAACGTGGGGTGGCTGGGCTTTTCTCACCAGCATGGAACCCTTCTGATGGTAAGACATCAGACGTCCACATCTCTGGTTTACGAGAATGGTGTAGAGACACACCGAGCAGAATAATGGCTGCTGCTGTTATCCAGGGCTGTTTTTGGGCAGGCACGCACAGGAACGGAGTTCCAGCTGGCTCCTGAGTGGGCCACGCCCAGCAGGAACTCATTAGCATAATAGGCCACACCCAACAGCAGAAACTCATTCGGATTGGCTACATTAGGGGTGTGTGGCCTAACATGCAAAGGAGTTCCTGCTACAAAAACAAGGTAAATAGAATAACAAGCAAAAGGTGGTGTGGCTGGATGACCACACTTCTGGTAACATGGGGGTGCGGCCTAATGTGCTAATGAGCTGTGCTGTCAGGGGTGTGGCCTAATATGCTAATGCGTTTCTGCTGTTGGGTGTGGCCAATTATGCTGATGAGTTCCTGCTGGGCTTTTTCTACAAAAAAAAAGCCCTGCTGTTATCTCTGGTTTGGTCCTTAAACTGGTTTGGAACTGGTGTTATATTTCCATTGTAGGCACGTCGCAAATGCGGCCATGGGCTTTTCCGGAGGGGTAGGCCGGGGCTCCCCAGTCCAAATCTCTTTGGGATTTCAGCGTATAACCAAATCTCTGTATGTTCAGGGACTATCTTGTACTGAGTAAATCGAGTCCTGTTCTAGGTGAGTCTGAGGATCCTCCACTGCAAAATGGAGAGCGTTCCCGAAGTCGGGACAGAGCTTAGAGTTGCCAGCTGGGGGGGGATACTTGGAGATTTGGGGGTAGGTAGAGCCTGAGGAAGGGGGGGTTTGGGGAGGGGAGGGCCATAACGCCCTAGAGTCCACCTTCCAGAGTAGCCATTTGCTCCAAGGGAACTGATCCCTGCCACCTGGAGATCAATTGTAACTCCCGGACATCTCCAGCCGCCACCTGGAAGCTGGCAACCCTAGCAGTTCTGCTTTTTCCCAGTGGGAATAAGGGGTGGTTGCCCTGGGACCACGGATGTCAAGGGTCCACATATATGTGTGAGAGGGACCATCAGTGTACAGGCGATACACACACACAGAGGGAGAAAGGCAGAGAACACCAGCCCTATTGGTTGCATTTGGCCAAATTTCAGTGTACGCATCTGCACACATTCAGCTGTCCCCATCATCAGAAATGCTGCATAGAGGGGATTCGGTGCATTTGTATGTCACAAATAGGATCGATAGGGCCCATGGGAGGACATTTGGCCCACCGAAACCCTTGAGCTTCCTATGATCAGAGCAAGATGGGACTCGTTTTATGTAGCAGAACCCACGTGCCCGTTGGAGTCTCTGTATCTTTGTGTTTGGACGCAAACATTCCATAGCTCTGATTCTGCGATTTGCCTCTTCTGTCCTGCACCACGTGTTAATCTCTTAATCCTATTACATATTTGGCTTCGTAAATGATTCAGAAGACTAGATACTCAGTTGTCTCCCCCCCCCCCGCGCTGCAGCCAGGGGGTTGAACAGAGCAGTTCTAACCAACAGGTTAACAGAGTACATTTTTTGTGCGAGAGAGAAAAGAGCAGGAGTCCAGTAGCACCTTCAAGACTAACAAAATCTGTGGCAGGGGAGGAGCTTTCGCGAGTCACTGCCCACTTCTTGAAGAAGTGAGCAGTGACTCACGAAAGCTCCTCCCCATATTTTGTTAGTCTTTAAGGTGCTACTGGGCTTTTGTTCTTTTCTACTGCTACAGACTAACACAGCTACCCATCTTTTTAGAGTCTCTCTCTCTCTGCATATTACTTCTTTGTTTCCATGACCGGAGGATACAATGCAGTTCGGCTCATTTAACTACAGCGAGAATGCAGAATATTTTTTCTATTCCCCCGCCCCCCGAGGATGTGAAATATCTCCTGCCAAAAAAGCAGCGTATACAAAAGAGGGGGAGAAGAAATATATAAAACCAACAATAAAACAGCAAGCCAGGCTTTTAAAATGTGAGCAGTCATAAAGGGGGAGGGTGTTTCTCCCCCCCCCATCCCACCCTGTCCTGTCCCCCCCCCCCAAAGAAATGAATAAATACTGTTTAGTTTTGCAAAATGTGTGTTGAAAGGAGAACATGACATAAGTTTTTTTACCGCTTGCTTTTGTGTGCAAACATAACAGGGGTGGCTCGGTATGTTTTGACAGTTATCACACAATTTCTTAATTATAAAAGCTTTGCGCAACAGATGAAACGATGCTGGTGAGGGGGGGGGATTAAATTGGATACGCGAGACATTCTGTATACTTCATTTAAAACGGTGGTGTTTTTAAAACTGTACCAGTCTGGAAGGTTTCTCGAAAGTGTGTGCCTTCTGTTTTAATGAAAGCTTTCCCCCACTCTTTGTGTGTTGAACTTTAGAGAGTTCGCCGTATATAAACGGAAAAAGCAATAAAGCGGATTTTACACACTGCCACGTAAAGCATATTTTGGAGTTTGAAATGTGGATTTCATTAAAGCGGAGGCCAAAACACTTAGCGGCAGCCTGAATTTTTGCCATCCTTTATGCTTTTAACTGCCAACTGCTACCGTATTAAACCAGGCCGAGAATGAGAGGGAACGTTAAACGTTTCATGTGCCTTTATGAATCCGGAACGGTTCCAGCTCCTGGTGTGAAAGTGATGGTGCCCTGTGTCCTCTTTAGCCTGGACTGTAGAACACCTGCTGCGGTGAGACACGCCCTCGGGAGCAGACCAGGACTACGCTGGTGTCCCAAGCAAAAAAAAAAAATCAATCGTGTCTGGTAGAACCAGGGTCACCAAGATGGAGGAAACAGTGGGCCCAAAAGCCCTGGTCAGTCAGGAAATCCACAGAGCTAGTCCAGCCCAATATCTGGCTGATATCATTTTTAGGGTTCAGAAATGCCAAGTGGGACTTGGAGATCTTCTGGAATTATGACTGATCTTCAGGTGACAGAGGTCCGTTCCCCCTAGGGAAAATGGCTGCTTTGGAGGAGGAGGAGGACCCAGATTAGAGTCCGCGCACCAAACTGGAGTCTATGGCATTGTGCCCCACTGTACCCCACATTACCCCAAATGTATCCTTTTCTGGGCTCTCTGCCCCCCAAATCTCCTGCTATTTCCCAAACCAGAGCTGGCAACCCCACCCCAGAGAGAATCTTTGCCTGGCACCCTGTAATGGCTCTCACAAGTCCAGGGAAATAAGGGCTGCATGACTACTGCATTTTTTATCCTCCATAACATCCCAGTTGCTTCTCTTTTTGCTCCTCTCTATCAATAAAGGGAAGGGACCAGTGTTCCCTCTAAGCTGAGTTAGTGTGAGCTGGCTCACAGTTTTTTTAGCCTCCGGCTCACACATTTTTGTCTTAGCTCAGGAAGGATGGGCTCTGGAGCAAACGAATGTATGCAGCAGCCAAACCACTCACTTGCACCGTTAATGGCAGTCGCTCCCAAGGTAGAATGTTTGCTTAGAAGACCCCACAGCTTAGAGGGAGCGTTGGAAGGGACTGCATTTAGGAAGTATGAGGGGTGAAGAAAGGGATACAGCTGCCCAGGGCTGGTTGCAGAATTTGTGGGGGCAGGCAAAAGAATTCCCAGGGCACCCCTTCCCACCTCTGCCCACCACCGGGCACTCATACCCGCCTTCCCTAGCACCCACCTGCATGGTTCCCCCACTTCTTGTGTGTCTTTCCCTTGTCCGCTCACCAGCATTCCCACTCCTCATGCTCACCGTTGCCTGCAGACCTTTCCCCGGGGGTGCCAGGCATAATGACACAATGGAGCATGAAACCAGCTCTGCAGCTGTCCCAACACTCAAGATCTGTTGCAGACCAAAGGCCTCTTTGGTGGTCTTCTTTGTTCTGCCATTTTGGTGTAGTGGTTAAGTGTGTGGACTCTAAACTGGGAGAACCAAGTTTGATTCCCCACTCCTCCACTTGCAGCTGCTGGATGACCTTGGGCAAGCCATAGTTCTGACAAGAGCTGTTCTTGAAAAAGAGCAGTCTCCGTCAGAGCTCTCTGAGCCCCACCTACCTCACAGGGTGTCTGTTGTGGGGAGGGGAAGGGAAAGGAGATTGTGAGCCACTCTGAGACTCCCTTGGGTAGTGAAGGGCGGGGTATACATCCAATCTTCTCCGCCTCCTCCTCTTTTTCTTCTTCTTCTTTGACCAGCAGTGGATACTCGTTGTGTTGGTGCCTTGGTCACCATTGGCCTGATGGTTCTCGTTTGGGTTTGCTTTGGGTTCAGGTCATCCTGACAGAATTTCAACCATGGTCGTTGTTGCTAAACTGAAGCATCTGAGGGCATTCATATACCAGGGGCCTCTTTTCCTCTGTTCTTGACCCCGGAAGAGCATTCATTCCTATTTGTGTTCCCATTGGCCAACTCAACCCTCTTGCCTAACTCTTCCACTTGATCTACCGGGGCTTCCTTTACCACCACTACGGTTTCCAGTTGCACCCGATGCCCTCCATGAATTTTTCAAATCCTTTTTTCCTTTTCTTTTTTTCATTTTACTACCCTTGCCTCGGCCTTCTCCTTACCCGCCCACGACACCGCAACGCAGTCCAGAGTAGGGCAACAAAGGAATGTTTGACGTCATCTGAGATGACGTAGCTGATTTTCGGGTTTTATGGTTGTTTTTATGGTTGTTTTTATGTTTTATGGTTGTTTTTATGTTTTTATGGTTGTTTTTATGTTTTAAATGGTTGTACATCACCTAGAGCAGGGACGTCAAACTCATTTGTTATGAGGGCCAGATCTGTCATAAATGAGACCTTGTTGGGCCGGGCCATGTGTGTCATAAAAGGTAATGCCAAGTAGCGGAGATATAAACTTTATAAAGGACACAAACACCAAGGGTTTTTTTTTTTACTTAAAATAAAACCATGCTTAAAACATTAGCTCTGTAAGCTACAAACCTACTTTTGATTGATTGACATTCACCACAGAAATCTCAGGCTCAGAGTTCTGAGTTGAGGACCCAGGTTAAAACATGAAATGGCTGAGCGATTGAGAGAATCTGGCGAAGCAAGCTATGATGCAGCAGCAGCAGAACTGGAAGCAGGAGATGGCCAGTTGCACTGCGGGCCTGATGGAAGCCTTCCAGGGGCCTGATCCGGCCCCCGGGCCGCATGTTTGACACCCCTGACCTAGAGCCTTACATTGTAAGGAGTAGGTGATTTATAAATTGAATGAATGAATGAATGAATGAATGAATGAATGAATGAATGAGTATGGGCAGTCTCCAATGTCTTGTGTTGAATTCCATGAGAGTTGGGTGAAGAAGGATTTTTAATTGCCTGAGTGAGCTTACTAAAATTCATTGTGAGGAATTCTCCTCCCAAGAGTTACTGGGCCAGGGTTCCCCAGCCTTTTTGAGCCTGCAGGCACGTTTGGAATCCTGACACGGCATGGTGGGCGCAGCAACAAGATGGCTGCTGCAGGAGGCAGAGCCAGCCACAAAATGATTGCCACAGCTTAACTTCAGTAGCACTGTGTAGATCCTCGTGACGTGGTGGCAGCTGCCGCCGAAGTCACACCTTAAAAAAAATCCACACCGCCAATCAGATTTCCAATGGCCAATCAGAAGCCTTGCTGGGCAAAAGCTCTACCCGGCCTCACCTACTTCCTAAAAACACTTGGGCAGATTGTAGAAGACAAATCTTCCTTTCAATATGACCAGTTTAAACAGTGGAGAACAGCGCATGCGTATATGCGCATGTGCACTTATCCTTTCAGCTTAGTGCACCTTGAAGTCCATTACAGGTGTGTTATGTAACGACTCTTGTAAAGTAAATTAAGTCTGAAGTCACCAATATGACATATTACCAAAGCTCATGGCTCTTAATTAAATATTAGCTGTAATTAGCACTAAGAGAAAAAAATGCTACCAATATTAATTTGAGGCTCGCCGAACGGCTGTCATTGGTAATTGGAATCAGTGGGGGTCTCCGTAACATCTGCTTTAGAACCCAAGGTAGCATAAAAAACCTTTCAGATACATTGCACCTGGAATCCATTCCTTCTTAGTACAGTTTCCAGTACTCTCTTGATCAAGTTTTCGCATTCCAGTAATTGCTATTGAAACTTGACATTGGGTAGGCCTGTAGCCATAGTTGGGCATTTGGGGGCAGAGCCCCACCACGGATGAGCCCCAACCCACCCAGGGAGGTTGCCAGACCCCCCCACCCTGGTGTGCTGCACCCCTTAACCCTGCCCCTCCTCAGCCATGCCAGCTCTTCCAGGGAAGCTGCCCTGCAGCTTTTGATCAGTTTCACTCCCCTCTGATCAGCTGTTAAACCTAACAGCTGATCAGGGGGAGTGAAACTGACCAGAAGCTGTAGGGTAGCTTCCCTTTCCTTCCCCAGCTTCCCCAACATGGGAGGGGGGGGCTGCGGAAGGGAAGGAAAGCCGCGGGGCCACTTCTGGTCAGTTTTACTCCGCTGGGATCAGCCCTTAAACCTAACAGCTGATCGGTGGGGAGTGAAACTGATCAGAAGCTGCAGGGTGGCTTCCCTTTCCTTCCCCAGCCTTCCCGTCACCTCAAGGAGGAGACTGGCAGAAGGAAAGAGAAAAGGCATGTATTCTCTCTCTCGCTTTCCTTTCCCAGCCTCTGCAGCAGTGGGGAGGCTGGGGGAGGAAAGGGAAGCCGCCCCGCCACTTCCGGTCTGCCCCCTTCATGTTTTGTTGTTGTTGTTCAGTTGCACAGTCGAGTCTGACTCTTCGCAACCACATCACATCAGGCCCTCCCGTCTTCCGACGTGCTTCGGAGTTTGCTCAATTTCATGTCTAACCATCTCATCCTTTACTGTCCCCTTCTTCTTTGACCGTCAGTCTTTCCCAGCATCAGGGTCTTCTCCAGTGAGTGCTCCCTTCTCGTTTGGTGGCTTCAGCTTCAGTATCTGGCCTTCCAGGGAACAGTCAGGGTTGATTTCTTTCAGGATTGACTGGTTGGCTCTCCTTGCAGTCCAAGGGACTCTCAAGAGTCTTCTCCAGCACCATAATACAAAAGCATCTATTCTTTGGCATTCAGCCTTCCTTAGGGTCCAACTCTCGCAGTGCACCACCACTAAAAACTTTCTGGCTTAGACATGTTTGCTTCAGCATGTGGGAGTTGGGAGGGGAGGTAAACAACACAAAGTAGAAGAAGTAGAACAGGAAGGAGGAGATGTCTCTGTTTCGTTTTCGGTAACGAATGTGAAGGCGGGGGGGAACCTCTGTGCATTAACCCAACTACTTCCTTCTGATCGCTTTGAAATTGTACTTCAGAATATTTTACCATTTCAATTTTAATGCCTTCTCAAAGATGTGGCACCCTCCCTTCTTCATCATAGTTGGCTCCAGTGTTCCCTCTAAGCTGAGTTAGTGTGTGCTAGCTCACAGTTTTTTAGCCTCCAGCTCACACATTTCTGTCTTAGCTCAGCAAGGATGGCTCCAGAGCAAGCTAATGTCTGCAGCAGCCAAATTGTTTGCTCACAACTTTAATGCCAGGGGCTCACAAAGTAGGATTTTTGCTCACAAGACTCCACAGCTTAGAGGGAACATTGGTTGGCTCCTGATGGAGTCTTGCAAGGTCTAGGCTAAGGGGAGGGGCTTCCATTCTGCACGGTGATTGGCCTAGGATGAAGTCGGGTGATGGAGCAGGTGACCATTGAGCCGGACAGGCTGGTTTTCCCTCCCCTTCTCTTTAGCAGAATGGAAGTTATTAGTTGTGTTCTTTCACTGCGTCATGAAGAATTGTCACTTTACATTGAATCAGTGGCTATTAGCCACAAGGTATAGATAGGGACTCTGGGGCAAGTGATGCTCTGTCATCTTGGTGCTTGGGGAGGTCAACAGTGGGAGGGCTTCTAATGTCCTGGCCCCACTGGTGGACCTCCTGGTGGCACTGGTATTTCTGGCCACTGTGTGATACAGAGTGTTGGACTGGATGGGCCTTTGGCCTGATCCAACATTGGCATCTCTTATGTTCTTATGTTCTTATGTCACGTTTGTTCCAGTGTCTGAGTTAGCTACAATTTTAAGCGTCACAGTGGGGCATTGTCCAAGATCCATGCTGGTGGGCTTGAAACCTGGTAAGAGGAAAAAATGGGGGTCCCCGACCTGTTCTCCCAGTATTATTAACCAATTGTGTGGCTCTAAGAGTCCTGGCACCCTGACTTGGATGGCCTAGGCTAGCCCGATCTCATCAGATCTTGGAAGCTAAGCAGGGCCAGCACTTGTCCACAGCTGGATGGGAAACCACCAAGGAATACAAGGGCTCCTATGCAAAGGCTGGCAGTGGAACGTCTGAATATCCCTTGCCTTGAAAACCCTATAGGATCTCCATAAGTCAGCTGTGACTTGATAGCAGAGAGGGAGAAGGAGAGAGAGAGAGAGTCCCAACACACACAGGTACCTGAGAGATTGTGCACCCAATCAGTATATTTAAATGAGAAAACTTTGCTTATCCGTGCCACTTCAAGTTCAGGGAGGGGGGGTGGTAAAGATGATTTTGAAGTTCTCGCCCCTGCTGTTTTGACCTGGAAATCCTTGGTTTCGATCTTGCTTCTCCCTGGACTTCATCAGACTCTCGGGTTCTTTATTAGAAATTTTGCTTTTACAATTCAGAAAATTAGGAAGGGTGTATAGAGGGGTTAAGAAAAGTGTTGAGTGATGTTAATGTATTAGTATATTAATCTTTTAGTATTAAAGTTAAAGTCAATAGCTTCTTCTGCAGTTGGACAATCTTCTTTTCTTCTCTCTCTGTTAAAACAAGCAATTAATATGTTAATAGTGTCCTTTTGGGGTTAATATTACTTTTAAAGTATTATCCGAAAAAGTCTTTAGACTTACCCTAGGTTCCCTTTTTTGTCTCTTAAGTTATATTTTGGACCGGTCGCTCCTTTAGCTTCCTCGTCCTTCACCCCTCCCTCCGAGCTGCTATCTTCCCCGCTCCATTCGCACCGCCGTGGCCGGAAGTCCTCGGGTTCTTTATTTTTCACACCCTATTCTCTTTTCTCATGCTAAATTTTCCCCATGAAATATATACCTTTTCCAAAAAAAATTTAAAAATCAAACAGCACTGTACACAGTGGATAGATAGACTCTGGGCTCTGTTTCAGACAGACTGCGCCCGCCTCCCCGTGTACGCAAGCAGAGAACTGCAAACTTAGCCTGAACTGAAGTCTCATTGAAAGCAATGGGAGTGAAATCTGTTTTGAATAACTGGTCCAAATGGCTCCCATTACAGTCGAGACTGAGTTTCAAAAGTGGCTCAGTTCCATTCAGATATACTCAATGCTATTTCCTTAACGAGGTTCACAAGTCTTCCATTCCACGACGGTTTCCTCTGTCCTCGTGCTGGAACTTTCCCGTTTAAAATTAACATACTTTAGCGATGTTTTAGCATCAGTTGTATCTAAATGGTGCGCAAATGATGGATAATGTGTTGGCGGCATTAAAAAATCGTGTAAAAATGTCACTGGGAGATATACAAGGACCAGCGATTATGGTGTTGAAAACAAGAAGAACCAAAACCACTGCTGATGGCACGGTGTTTGTGTGTGGTTTCCGACTTATGGTGACTCAAGGAATGAATGAATGAATGCATGAATGAATGAATGAATGACCTCCAAAACATCCTATCATTCACAGCCTTCCTCATGTAAACTGTGGGCCGTGGCTTCCTTGATGGAGTCCATCCATCTCATGTTGGGTCTTCCTGTTTTCCTTCTGCCTTCACAATCCGTGTTCCTGATAGCACCATAAGACCTGGAAATGTCAGGTCACCCTGGTTTTTGTAGAGCTTAAGCCATGAATTCCTGTAGCTGCAGGCTGTCGCCATTAACAGAAGCAGTGGATGGTAGCGCAACTCAGGCACTGGTTATGACCAAAGTGATATGTTTATGCAGTTTGTGTCTTGATTGTCCAGTCACGAGTGGCCTCCCCTACCAACTCGTCTTCGATAGAATCTGATATACAAATGAGGAATGTTGGCTGAATGAGTCTGTGTGATCATGGGTTGGGTGACCTGTAGCCAATGTGCCGTAGTGGTTAAAATGTCAGATTTGAATCTGGAAGAGCCACGCTTGAACCTCCACTCTGCCATGGAAGCTCGCTGGGAGACCTTGGACCGGTCACCCACACTCAGTACCCATAGGCAACATCAGGGGAAGACCTCTATGTCCTGTTGTTGGCCTGTTTGGCCACTGTGGAAGACAATTTCAGGAGAGTACCCCCGTTGGCCTGCAGATGAAGAGCTGGATTTGAGTCCAACAGCACCCTAGAGACCCACAACATTCTCAGGATATAAACTTTGACTCTTAAAAATGTATACCCCGAAAATCTGTAAGGTGCTATTGGGCTCTGTGTAAGGTAGGATGCTGGACGAGATGGACCACTGGTAGACTTGCCCACCTCCGGGTGGTTGCTGAAGATCTTCCAGAATTATAACTGGTCTTCAGACGACAGAGATCAGTTCCCTGGGGGAAAATGGTTGGTTTGGAAGGTGGACTCTATGGTGTTATATACTGCTGGGGTCCCTCCCCAGGCTCCGCCCCCAAAATCTCCAATCCAGAGCCAGCAACCCTAACCACAGGTCTGATCCAGAAGGCCTCTTCTCGTGTTCTTAACCCATCTCAGAGAGTTTGTAGTAAAAATAAAATGGCGGAATGGAGAATGATGTAAGCCATGGTGGTTCCCTTCTGGAAAGAAAGGCAAAGTGTGAATTAAGTAAATAATAATAAGAGATTGGATTTATACCCCGCCTTTCACTTCCAGAAGGAGTCTCAGAGTGGTTTACAGCCTCCTTTCCCTTCCTCTCCTTACAACAGACACCCTGTGAGGTAGGAGGAGCTGAGAGCTCTGAGAGAACTCCTCTTGAGAGAACAGCTCTGAGAGAACTTGTGACTGACCCAAGGTCACCCAGCGGGCTTCATGTGGAGGAGGAGTGGGGAATCGAACCCGGTTCTCCAGATTGGAGTCCACAGCTCTTAACCACTACAACATACCGGCTCTCAGTGTATGTAGAGCAGCCTTAACTGTCTTAACCTTCCTCTCTTTTCTTCTTCTTTTTTTCCTCCTCCTCCTCCTCCTCTGCAGGGTAACCAGGAAGCAACGGCACCTCCTGACACAATGGCACAGCCTTACGCCTCGGCCCAGTTTGCTCCCCCCCAGAACGGCATCCCAGCAGAGTACACCGCGCCCCACCCCCACCCCACCCCAGATTATGCAGGCCAGACCACAGTCCCAGAGCACACGTTAAACATGTACCCGCCTGCTCAGACGCACTCCGAACCAAACGCAAGCGACGCCAACGCACAGACTGTCTCAGCCACAGCCACAGTAAGTATGGGGGGGCAGGTTATCCTCCCCTCCCCAAGCATACAAAGACTTACTTATTTGCGAGCTCAAGTTAAAATGTCAGTGTGAGATCTTCAGGTGGGGACCTCCCATCTCTCCTGAGCTGAGACTTCCGTTCCATCTCAGCTTCCGAATCGGAGCTCATTTTGATGTTCGGAGTGGGACTAAAAACTTGCAAAGATTCTGTTTTTTTTAAAAAATATATATATTATGGGAAATTCCCCACTAAAGTTTTAGGGTGTTGGATTTTGAATGTGCCCTGTTTCATTTCTCAGCTTCAATGTGAGATTGGACAGCCAAGTTCATACGCGGCATGTTTCTACTCATTGCCCGTTCCTGTGTTCGGTGGATATTGCTGCACAATGGGGTGATTGACTGTAGACAGGGGTCATTTCGTAGAAAAAGAGGTGCAAGAGCTCATTAGCATAACTCGTTAGCATAACTTATTTGCATATGCCACACACCCTGACATCACTGGAAGTGTGTCAGAAGGCAACACCCACTGCTCAGGCTCCACGGGACTGTTTTGGATTGCTAGCTA